TGGACACTGAGACTGAAGGCAGTGGAGTAACTGAGAGACACCTTCTGGTTGGGCTGGAGGAGGGAGAGCTGCAGCAAAGCATTCTGCAGGGGGAGGGCGAGGACGGGCCCGACAGCCTGGACGGTCAGTCAGACAAAATCAGTTCATCTAGTCACTGCGAAGAGGTTTTTTGGTAGCTGTTTGCTGTGGATGGGCTGCTTTGGAAATGCATTAAAGGCGCATCCATGTGAACATTAATCATTAAACTGTTCTTTGATTAGATGTTTCTTTCTCTCGCTCTCTCTGCTCTGTTATAGGCAAGCTGACAGCAGGATCCCTGCTCGTTAACCCCCTTGAGCCACTCAATTCAGACAAGATCAAGGTCAAGATTGCAGACTTGGGAAATGCTTGCTGGGTGGTGAGTAACCTGCTAATGACTTGAGGGATTTCCTGATTAGGGATGAAGCCTCCAGCTAGGGACACGCACAGTGTCATCTATATACCAAAATAGAAATGCTTCAATCTTCCATCCCATTGTTTCATTTGTTGTATTCATCTGAGTTTTGAAATTGTACTGTAGATGAAGTTGGATACAGTTGTCCTCGGCTCTGTACATTTTGGAATCTATTTTTAAGGATTTGTTTCTCGCCCTCTGTCTCTCCCTCTCTCAGCACAAGCACTTTACAGAAGACATCCAGACACGGCAGTACAGGTCCTTAGAGGTGCTCATTGGTGCTGGATACAGCACACCGGCTGACGTGTGGAGCACCGCCTGCATGGTGAGAGAACGCACTGACAACCGTATGAAAACCAAATCATCCAATTTACCTCGAGGTGCTCCGAGTGTGCAGCAGGTGGTGCTGGAGAGTCAATATTTTCATACAGCGTCTGTTTCTGTGTCTGTGATGATTGTGTTGTCTCCGCAGGCCTTTGAGCTCGCCACAGGGGACTACTTGTTTGAACCACATTCTGGGGAAGATTATTCCAGGGATGAAGGTATTGCTTCCTCTCTTTCTCCAGTTAAACCCGCACAGAATGAATCCTTATTCCATACTTAATAGTATTTTTGAAATGTATGCTTCACTGGTAAGATGCATCTCATAAGAGTTTCACAGTAAGCATGTCAAGCTGGGACCTTCACTTCAACTTGTTGTGCAGTTAGCGTAATAATGTGCAGTGCACGTTGCTTAATTCTCACAATGTTAACACTTAAATGAGGTACTTCATGACAGTGGTTTCAAATATATCTGCAGATGTTAATGATGTAATGATGAGTACCAACATTCCTGTGTTTATTTCCTCTAACACCTCAAACCACTTTTGCCACACTGGAGACAGGGCCATCTCTCATTTCCTTGCTCATCTTTTCTTTACCTCATCCTCATCCTCTCTCAAAGTTCCATCGTTGTCGTCCTTATGCTTCATGTTGATGTCGGCTCGCTGCTGAGCGTGAAGTTTCTGTACTGACTTGATTCTGTTGCATGTCGGGTATGTGCTCAGATTCAACCTTCGTTTTCACTGGCACATGCCCAGCAGGTGTGAATCAGCTTCTTCACCTCCAGTACACAAACTCACGAGGCGATTGCTTAATTCTTCCACAGCTCGCTCTGTTGTGTGACCGTTTGTTAAACTAATCACTCATCCTGTATCAGAATCTGCTGTTCAAGTTTTAGTGTTTAAGTCTTTGATGGCTGTGCTTTAAGTCTTATAGTCGGTCTGATTCAATCTTTGCGGGGGAGGGGTCGTATATGAAAGTGAATGGCTTCATGTATTCAAATGTTTGAAGCTTTTCATGTGAATAATAATATCAACTTCCCATACATATGCTTCTTGTCATACAAGGCTGTCATCATCATCCATTGTTCCTAATGCATTGTTCCACACGACTGTTCATCCCCGCTCCAAACTGTTGCCCTCTGACCTTCTATCTCTCCTCCTCTGATGTGCCTCATTTCCAGACCATCTTGCTCTCATGATTGAGTTGCTCGGTAAAATCCCTCGCCAATATGCTCTGAGTGGGAAATACTCACAGGAATACTTCACCAAGAGAGGTATGCCACCTCTCTGTCTGTGGCTCGCTCTGGGAACGGTGTGTGGGAGGTGGAGGAGCAAGGTTCCGGTCAGCACACACACAGATCTACCTCAGTTGTTGGTGTACGATGGCCAGTGGGCAAAAATAATCAATACAGACCAATTCATTTCTGCTACTTTGAACAGTGCCATCAGACATTGAGTCACGTGTCAGAAGGTCTGTCTGCTTGCAGAGGTACACTCGGTGCCTCCTTAGTTGTAGCCAGATGACTTGGCTGGATACTTGATACTGTCGGGGGAATACTCGTGAGTATTTCCTCCATCGGTTGGTCAAATGCAACCTTGCGGTGTTTTTCTTACTAATAGACTGGGAGTGTATATGATATACAGTAGTACCTCATCCAGAGTCTTGATACGGTAACATTTGTCATGATTTAGTGCACTGATTTATTTTCAAATTTTGTATTTGTTGATATGATGAGGTGTTTAAAGTCCTTTTTTAAAGATGAGGATAAAGCTCCAACAGGTGTATAAACAACAGGTGTTCAAACATGATTAAAACTCTGCCATTGCTTTAATATGAGCAACTGAAAGTGCGTGCTTTGACATTGAAGGACAGGCTTAACAGTTGGAGGCTGATTACAGATTTCAGAAAGAGTATTGCTTCCTCCCTAGTTGTATACATTTGTCATCGACAGTATGTGAATTTTGTTAATAACCCTCCAGTGTCTGACTCCAGTGACCAAACTGAAGCTATTGAATCTTGACACATGGAGCTGGAAGAAGTTTAGGAAACGTACAGCTCTTGTAATGTCTGGTGGCTGTGTTTGACAGCCTAGTTTCTAACTGCAGGCGTGTGCACCCCAACCTCTGCAACAGTCTGACCCATATGTACGCAGGTGTGTGCCGTCAGCTGACCGCTCTCCTCCTCAGCCCTCCACCCACACACCCAGAGTGGGCCTGTGACCGGGACACTGTCTGACCAATCTGTTGTCTGTCTTGTCTGTCTTGTCCCTCTCCTCTTGCAATCGTCTGCCGTGTAGACCATATAGCGCTGATAATTGAGCTGCTGGGGAGTGTCCCACGCAAACTCATAATGACTGGCAAATATTCCAAGGATTTTTTCACCAAGAAAGGTAAAACAAAGACGCAACAGTGTCGAGATTAGACGGGGTTTTCTGCCTGTCGTTTAAATCATGCCCTAGAGCTGCTTTATAAGGTTTTCACAAAGCTGTTGTATGAAACTTCAACTTTTTATTGTTAAAACGTTTCCAACATTAGATATTACAATTCAAATAATTCCTGTTTTGGAAATCCATTGACAGTTATTGAAGTAAAACTATTTAGTGTCTTATTTGGAGGTTTCTATGTGTTTTCACAGACTTCTCGTTGGTAGTAAATGTACACTCGGGGAAACTGTTGCGCTGTATTCCTGCACGGCTCTCTGACGCAGCGCTGTCTGTCTGCAGGTGATTTGAAACACATCACCAAGCTGAAGCCGTGGGGCCTGATGGAGGTGCTGCTCGACAAGTACGAGTGGCCCCGTGAAGAAGCCGAGTGCTTCACTGACTTCCTGCTTCCCATGCTGGAGCTGATCCCAGAGAAGAGAGCCACTGCTGCAGAGTGCTTGCGTCACCCCTGGCTCACCCTCTAGTGGAGACCTCCAGCCATTGCACCGTCCCTCCCCCCCACTCTCTCCAGAGACTGCAACAGATCACTTTCCAGTTTGGGCATATCAGATGAATATTTATTTCTCTTTTCTTTTTGTTTCGTTGATTTGGATTACTTATGTTCTTGTTATTGAACTAATGCTTCTGTGTATGTTTGCTTTGTATTTGTTGGTTCTTCTCTTAGTGTGATGACGTCAGGAATCCAGTGGTATATATTACTTTGTGGTCATGTTGGCTCCACTCATCTGTGCTCCGTTCACCCACCCAACTAAGCAAACCTGTTCTTGTACTGCTAGTGACACATCCTTGTTTGTTACACTCCTGCACTAAACAAATTAAGGATATGTAGCCTTCCTTGCTCATTCTGTCCCCTTTTTAAAAGGATCCGCTATTACTTCTTTTCTCGTGCTGTTTTTTTCTAAGAATTATTTTATCTTATATTAAACATGTAAGGTAAACATTTTGTATTTGTAAAGTAGGCTTAGGAAGTTGCACACTGGGCTGACATGTACACTGACTGTGGTAATGTTCACAGCATTTCTCCAGATGGTTTCTTAGAGACGTCCACTGTCTGATGTAGGTCATATTATTTAGCCATAAGAAATCTGTTGTCATCTGGTACTTGGTGTGGTTAGTTAATTATAATAAATGAGGTCTTGCATTCTCATGGGAGGCTGGTATTCTCATACAAATCAGGAAAATACTGTTTTGAAGGTTTCATCAAGACGACATGTTAAGAAGCCGTAGTCAAAGGAAAAAAAGTGAAAATAAACTGTATATATCTGTACCAAAGAGTTTGCCTTTATGTATATTACAGTTATGTACAGTTTTTAACAAATCTTATATCTTAGCTAAAGTTATTTAGCTGGGTAGCTGTGTTTTAATAGTGTATGGAAGATGTGTTCGAGCACAGTTGTACGTATGGACAGCTGTTCAATACTGTCTCTGTTTCTACCAACAAAATGGTGAGATCTGATGTAATGTGATGGTGTCCCAGATTGATCATATCAAAGTAACCTATGTATCTATTGAGCCTAGGGAACAACAAAATGTACATCAGTGTCGGATTCAAGAACATGGACTTTGTGTAAACTGTCAATTTACAAAAACACACCATACAATAAAAAAATGTTCATACAATACAGAGCTGCTGTGTCGAGCTTTTTTCTCTGAGTTTATTAGATCTTTGACATCAAGTACAGAATTAAAAGTCTGCTGTTATTGCTGGGGTTGTGAAGCAGTAAGGGACTGCTGCATTTCAATTAACCAAAGGTCACGACTAGTCAGGTGAGCAGTTTGACCTGAACTACATTATGACGTTTCAGGATGCTTGTTCGTTGCGTCTGAAGGTCCATCTTCATCAGGGGTTTTCTGTAAAAGAGGGAAAACACTCTTGTGGATATCTTTATTTCATGGACTTCAGACACTGGGCCTTAGTTTCCTCCTTGTTGGGTTGCAACTCACATGACTTACTATACCATTTAGCTAATATTGACAAAGTTGTGGTAAGATTTGTATTTTTACCAATATTTGAAATAGAAATAGTGTTCTTTTGTTGTAATATGTTGATAATGACGTGTATCAAATGTGATACAATAGGTTGCAATTTGTTTGAAAATCCTAAAATCATTCTTGTTTAGCATTTCATGATTTTTCATGGTTTTGAATTTATACACTTTAAATTAAACCAATCCGGAAAGAAATGGAGTATTTATATATAGTTGTATTTGCATAACCTTGCCTGGGATATTTGTGAAGATAAAAGATTCTCTCCAGAAGTGAAAAGGAAAGTGTAAGTTTCACATCACGTCACAGTAGAAAAAGCACAATCGTAAATAATAAAATGAGTGATGGCTGAATTTCATTAACATGTAACTGCTTCAGTTTTAGGGTCCTGGTATTGTGGACACCGGCTCATTATCACAACATTACGGCTTAACAAACACTTATGCTTCTCCTTCCATGACAAGTCAAAATGTCTTCTGTGAAAAAAAGGCCTACAAGCAGCATACAGACTCCACAAACCAAGCTCAAGAGCAGACACGGTTACCTCCCTGCCTTGGTCCATGCCCACCACCTTCATCTGTTTTCATTACCTGCTCCTCCCTGCACCTCGAACTCATCCGGCAGCAGTTTGTCCTGACGGTTGCCGAGAGTGAAGGACAGAAATGCCAGGAGGAGGGCGTCCAGGATGCTGATGATGGCCAGGATGTAGGACCAGCGCACCGTGCAGTTCCCCAGGCTGTACTTATCCGTCCTCTGGCCACACATCCTCTTCACCTCGGGAGAGTCCCAGCCGTCCGGGTAGATCATGCAGCCCATCACCATCAACACCGCTGCGGGGGAAGACGGACACTGAAATGGTGCAGCCTTGAAATAATTACCCTTGTGTGCTGTTGCTTTGCTGAATAATTATAAAGGAGGTTCTGCTGAGCGTCTTGTGCAGGATAAGGCATGATGTAACCCCATAAAGTGCCCTAAGTTGTAATTTATTAATGGTGCAGCAGCAAAGGATGCTCAGTGGGGCTGTTTGCATGATGTACTGCTGTGAAAGTTCTTAAATGTTAAATGCTCTTCATCTGGTAAAGAGTCCTCTGGGTTTTTGCCACAGACAGTTCCCGTACAAATATAGATACAAATCTGAATTTTGCAGATATGCGCATTCCAAAATTGTCAAGTTAAATACTGTAGTGGGGTAACTAAGTAGATTTACTATACAACAACTATACTTATATAAACGTTTGCGGTTTGAGGTACATGTGCTGTACTATTTCCATTTTGTTTTACTTAGTTACTTTATATGCCACTGCATTTTAGAGGGAATATTGTAGTGTTTACTTGTTCCTAGTTATTTTTTACAGTAACACATTTCCTGAATAATGTGACTTTTTTTTTGTTGTCTCACATTAATCGTTTCATGACCTCTGAGATTTATCTGGTGACCCTTTGGAGGGGCCTGACCCCTAGGTTGGAAAACGTTAGAAAAGACTGTATCTAAATGCTGCTTACACATTGCTGCATCAGTATTACAACTGTATTATGATAATATATCAGTCACAGGGGACACATTTACTGCTTAGTACTTTTACTTTTAATTCTTTCAGTTCATTTAATTGACAATATTTCCGATAAGACTTCATCGTTGCTTTGGCCCTGGTGTGTTTCAAGTGGGAGTTTTGATCACTTAACAACACAGCAACACCTGATCTTGTTACATGTAACCAATCCACCATCAGAGGTGTCAGAGTCTGGGCTGGAACTGGATCCCTTCATGGCTTCCTCAGAGAAGAACAACACATCCAGTACAAACACACACCTCACATGAAACCAGAGAGGTGAGAAGATGAGTTTATCACACTCTCACACAGTTTAGAGGGAACCGTTCAGAAGACTCATCCTTCACTGCTCTGCTTCAGAGTTTTGATATTCAGGTGCTGAACTTTGGTAAAGGTTTCTGTTGAATGTGTACTTTGGTGACAAAATGTAAAAACGCAGTCTTTATTTGGATAGTTAGAAGTAGAAACTAAAGCAACTATAAAGTTTGAGAGGGTAGAGTAGGCGGTGGAGTCGCTTGCCCACTAAGAGTTTCTCCACGGACTGTGTGACCTTTGACCTTTGTCAAGATTTTAACTCTGAATATGAAAAGCAATAAACTGATTTGTTTTTCAAACCATCTTAAACCCAGTAAACTTGTTGGTGGCAGAGTAACTTTATCTACCACTACCACAGTATTTTCACACAATGCCTCGATATCAATAATCTAATGATATTTTATGGATTACTACTGGTTTGATCCCAGATGATATCCAGCCTCATAGTCAATTATCAATATTGATTTATGTCTCAGCTTCACTCAAATGTAAGTTCAGTATCAGTTCTATACTACAAAATAAAGTGTGATCAAAACACATCCTACAAAATAATACGAAATGATTTATGGATACATGAATACATTTTTTACTGAAAATTATTATTGTTATTTTGTCATTGGATGCCACCAATGGTGGAAGCATTTTTATCTCTTTCTTTAGTCAGTAGAAGTAGTAATGCTTAAATGTAAAAATACAACTTTAGTATAAGTAAAAGGTCATGAATTTAAAAAGTACTCACAGTAAGTATTACTAGCAAAATGTACTTTTAACTATCAAAAGTAATAAAAATGATCACTATGCAGACTACAGGTGTCGAAGCTTTAACTTCTTCATATGTTGTTGGCTACTTTAATCAATAAAAATGTGTCATATTTTACACAACGATCATATATTCATGATGTGATATCTTAATCTGAACAGTAACTATAACAGTCAAACTAATTACGTGGACTTAAAAGTACAACATTAACCTCTGAAATGCAGTGCAGAAGCACAACGACCACACTCTTCCTCACCTGAGGCCAGCTGCATCCACGCACAGATCTTGTAGACGTTCCCGGCGTTGCAGAAGAAAAACAAGCCGAAGCAGACCATAGTGGCCACAATCAGCAGCATGGAGGTCCCCACGAAGAACATGGCGGTCCTGAAGGCAGGTGAGGGGATGGAGGCGAAGTCCAGCACGCTGCCCCTGCAGACGAGCTCCGAGGTGAGCGCGTTGCCGATGCAGTAGTGGAAGAGGCCGAAGTACCCGGCTTGCGGGGTGTTGACGCTGTCCCCGATCCAGTAGGGCTGGATGAAGACCACCATGGTGATGATGACGAAGCAGATGGTGAACACGGCCCACATGACGCCGATGGCTCGGGAGTTTCTCACATAGTTGGTGTGGTAGATTTTAGCTGCCTCCTGGGCTGGAAGCAGATCCATGTCAGCGAACTTTTCTTAACTATGTCGTCAATGTTCCCTGTCTTTAGTAAATCCAAACAAATTCCTACACGTGCTTAAACATAATCCACGTGTCCCGATGAGTCTTTAAACTCGCCACAACACACAAAAACACGCGTGCCCGTTGCTGCTGCGGCTGCTTTGCACGGAAAGACCTGGCTCGGGATTCAGCACCCCGGACAGCACCCTCACCTCTCTAATTAACGACGTGCTCTGACGTCAGAGGTTGACAGAATAAGCAACAAGATCACCATTGAAATACAAAACTAGGAGTATAAACAAGCATATGTAGAATCAAAGCACTACAGTTGTGTTATTATTATACAATTAAATATCACGTAGAGTTTTTAAAAAGTACATCTGCCTCCTTGGAAAGTCAAACCTGCAACCCTGTCTTTCCTTTAAAAATAAAATACAAATGTTACTTTTGGTTCAAGTTAACAGATCTCCAACAAAACCACATACATGCATGATGTTTCGGGGTTATTTTAGTATCCTCACTGCAGCTTTACAGCATTGTTTAGTTGTTCTAATTCTGTCCAAACTCATCTTTATTCCAATGTTTCTGAATGTCATTATGTTATACCTAGGGGATTCTGCCTGGCAGTTTGCTGAGGTTTATGGCTGATACACAGGACAAATAAATTAAAAAGGGTTGCAGATTCAAACTTTTATTCATTTGTATCAAATTCAACATCACTCCAGCTGAATCTTTTTTTTATTGCAGTGCTGCTTATGTGGAACTCACTGCCAGTGACAGGAACACAATAAGGATTTTATTTTGATGAATTTGAAAAAAATCTCACATGGATATAGATCTTGACTGTTGTTGCAGACGGTGTTGGGAGTTCAGCGACAGTGAAGTCTGAGTTCGTAGAGGCTTAACAATGGCACAGATGTGAAATCCAGACATGTGGGCAGCTTTAAATCACACAGCACAAATGTGTTTGCCAAAAGCAGCTGGTCTGGTATGATTCACACCAAAGCAGAGATCTATCTCTCTCAGTCTGTTCAGCAGACTTGTTTTCATTTTAATTGCCCCTCTGTTTGCTGAGAACACCAAAGACACATTTTGAGCAAAAACAGTAAATGTGATTGATGCAGCCCCACTTTTTTAATTTCTCTTTCTTAATTACTGGTGTGTTTTGACGTACGTTTTATCTGTGTCCTTTAAACTACAGCAACACATGTGGTGTCACTCCTCGTGCGTTTTCTTTTGTTTTGACCATGTTCAGTTAGGGATGACGACCCTGGCTCGAGGCTGACAGAAGGCAGCCGGACAGAGCGTGCCACCATCTGTACCCTTCACCCTCTAGTCAGTGATCACAACAAGGAGCATGAGGGCATCCGACGACACTCTGCCATGTGTTGAGAAGAGTATTCAGGGAGGAGTGGCTGTCCCGCGTCGCCACAGACTCCCTGACGGCTTCCTGACGGCTCCCTGCAGCGCAGGAGGGACAATCAGCTGCCGGTGGGGGGTAGCAGAGAAGGAAACATGAGCTCTGCCTGAAAGAGAGACAGAGAGAGAGGGATGAGATGGAGAGGAGACTACACAGCATAGATAAAAAGACTAATCAAACTCAGTCCGTGGAGGAGAAATGTGGGGGAGCTGCTTTGGAGTGCTGCTCTAATGAGACGTAATCCCTGATACAAGTGACAGCCTCTGACTGTCTCGTCAAGATTTCCTTCAAGCCTGCTGTTTCTTTGGAGACGCCTCGAAGAGGGGATGTGGTTGTGGATGTGGAGAACGTAGAGACGGACACAGACAGGCTTTACACTTTTAGGAGGATTAACCTTGTTATTTGTTTGTATTTGTTTTCTGGCAAAAGAAAACCTTGTTCCAGGTTGATTCTGAAGTCAAAATAATGAAAGCCTGTAGTGATATGAGGGAATTTGTGAAATCCAAAGATCCACTTATGCTGCACTCAGAGCTCATGAATTAAAAAGATGAATCCGTGACCATCTGCTTTTGACCAAGAGCAATGCTGCTGTGTTATAGCTCCCAAATAAAGATGAAATCTGATGTCTAGATTTTACAGCCTTCTTTCCCATCACAGGGTCCGGCATTAGTAGCAGGATAAAGGCGTTTAACTGTGTTACCATTTTTTCCCACCTTATTGCTCATAGGTCTGATTTCAGGGGTGCCACCGTCTCCTGAATCCAAATCAAAGTAGGATTTGTCTTTCACTTTACTGAGGAGAATTAAACTTTGTTTGCGTTGGCTTTTGCAGTCATTCTACCGTCTGTCACTCCACAACTTTTTAGCGCTTGTTTAACATTGAAGACAGCAGAATCACTTTTGGATTCTTCAAAAGAATTTGTCTTTGTGCCACGAGGCAATCCAGCAAATTTCAGACAAAATTCAAATTGATGGTACATATAAAAAAGCCTGGAAATGGCCAGTCCTCTCCAATCAGCAGCCACCATATGGAAGCCTTATGGATATGATCCAAACTTCATCAACTGCTAATTTAAGTTGACTTGATGGTAATTTTTACATTTTCTTTTTCTGTCTCCAAATTAATGAGCACTGGGTTTGTACATGGTGATAGCTGGCTGTTCATCAAATCTCATCATCCATCAGTCATGGTGGCTGGATTAACCGACCAGAGAAAAAGGCCTTTAACCCCTTTCCTTGTAAAGTAGATTTTAGATTTCATGACACTTTCTACCTATAATTCAGAGGAAAATATTGTACATTTTTTGACAGCTTTAGTTTGTAATTTACAAATGAAGATTTTACACACAAAACATAGGAGTATATTTAATGTTATGCTTAATGCATCAGCAATAAGGATACAAATTTAAACTTATAATGTTCTATTATCCGAGTTAGAAGGGGCATTTTTCTGTGTATTTTTACATCTTTATTGAACAGTAAATAGTAGAGATGTGACAGGAATTGAAAGGCGAAAGAGAGGGCATGGCTACATCAAAGTTGACCAGCTAACACATGGTCATTGGCTTAAAGACCCCTAAGCCACCAGGAAGTTCAAACAATATCTTTGTTTAATGGTGATTAAGTACTTTTATGTCTGGAGGCTGAATGACAAATAATGACTTGGCGTTAGAATGAGACGTCTTTAATTGTTGCATCATGGACAACCTCAGGATCGACTCTCTAAACACAGACCTACCCACACTGAAAGGACTTCTTACCTCCGATGAGTGAATTTATCAGCAAACTGATAGCTGAGCTCTTCGTCCCTCTTGTAGACTGCCTTGGGGAGTCATGTTTGTTTATCCGGCTCTTCAATTATTTCTGCTCCTCACTGCAGTTCAAAGACGCTGTTAAAACGATCTGCCAGTCTGGTTACCTGTGATCCACAAGAAAGAGAAACGTGAAGAGGGGTAGAGGTAGGTGAACACTTTTCTACTGGCTCTCTGCAAACAGAAGATCACAGATAAAGTGATCATTGTAAAGTCAATATCTTTGAGGTTTGGACTCAAAACTAAACAGAAATTGTTAACATCATTTCTACTCAGGGGGCAAACGTGATGGACATTTTTCAACATTTTGTTGAATTTAAAACAATAATCAATAACAAAGAAAGAATAAAAATAGTCTTTATTTGCAGTTCCAAAAGGGAGTCTATTGTAGAGTGTGACACCACCACAGATGTGAGGGGAAGGATGCAGTGTGGCAAACATCCGGGGTTAATCGGGGGGATCCCTCCTACGCAGTGCTCCTGCTGAAGTCATTTCAGACTCAATGGCAACAACACTTGGATGCAAGCCAAGGCAATCAACTCGGCTACACACACTTTACACACACGACACCAAGGCTAACATTGTTAACAATAAGGCCACTCACACAACTACACACCCACGCAACAAATATGTCCTGAAACAGAATCCTCACAGCACACTGGCCTCTCTCTCTCTCTCTCTCTCTCTCTCCCTCTCTCTCTCTCTCGCTCTCTCTCTCGCCCATCACGTTTGTGTGTGCCACTGTACAACTTATCACCAGCACAGCAGGTCTATCGCAATTCAGTCGCAGCACACATGGTAAGAGATCGAAACATATTCTATACCGTTAAAAAGAATGGACCACAGAGGCCTGATATCAATTCAGAAGACAAATCCACAGCTTTTCATATTGTACGAGGCGACGTTAGGTTTTCAACATTTTTTAAAAAGAGGAAACACCACAACAATATTTTCTGTCTTCATATTTGTCATTATATGTTTGCAATTTGAATAATGAACACTGATGAACACAGTAAGCTTTTAAAAAGACATTTTGCAATTGACAAATAATCTTTTAAATGTTTGTCTAGAGATACGTTTATTTCTTGTTTGTTGTCAGAGGGTTTTGAAGGCACTAACAATCTGTGAATACCAGACGTTAGTAGTTGCTCTCAAAGTATAATTGTAACTAGGCTTAAAACTTAAGTTGATTGTTATAGTAGTGATGAAACCACTGAGCATTACCAGCCGACTCTACTGTAGTTTCCCTCAGCTCTATAAAGCGTTTCAGCGTCTTTCAGCTCATTGTTTTGGTTTTCTGGCTCCCATCGTTTCTCTTTCGGTTCAGTCTCCTCTCTTATCATGAGCTTCGCTCTAATCAGTGTTGTTTGCAGCTGCAACTGGCAGCAGTTTTCATCAAAAATGCTCCCATAACTCTCATAATCTTATCAGTGCTCTACGCTGGAGTCAGTATAGTTTTCAGTGTTAATCCAATTGTAAAAATCAAGTCAAGTTGATTGCAATCTGAGCTAATTGAGCCCTTTTAGATGTTATTACTGGCCACTCTAGAGCATTATGAACTCTACTGAGTGGACAAACAAGTCTTTAAACCCCTAAATACCCCATTGCACTAGTAAACTGCTGGATGTAACCTGTGATCAAAGCTATAGTGGAGTGTATATGTTTTTACAAAGGCAACACATGGTCTGATATGCACACACAGTTTAACTGCAGCAGAGGACGTCTTCAAGTTTCCCCCATCTGAGAAAAACCTCTGCAGCTTGTTATTGCTG